TAGTTCTAGCATGATTTTAAATAAGTCAATGTTGCTATGATAATACCAAGACGTGTTAGTATGTTATATGATACCAATTATTAGGTGAAATCAAACACGTGACCTTCTTATATAAATTTTCAGATCAAGTACTAACTTGCACGTCTTTTGTTATACGTACGTAGCTCCTATTTTAAAAAAATTCAATCTGATGAAAAGCAAAATAAATAAATAAAATAGCTAATAATCTAATTTACTAAAAGCGTGTATGGTGCTAACATCATTTAAAAACAAATAGTTAATAACCTTACATGTTGCATATACCACTACTATTAAGCTTATAAGTGATGTGTCTATATTCCCATTATTCAACTTGTTATGATTTTGAAACACACCACAGGTCATGTCGTTCAATTTTTCTAAATATATGCTACACAACCCATGTTTCCCTTTAAACCCTTTATTCGTTCTTTTTTCCCTCTCTTCCAATTAATACATACCATACATATGTTATGATTTATTTTATTTCTATTTTTTTTCTATATATTAATGCCTTCAGCCCTTCACTGTTATTGCTTTTCTAAATTTCAATTTAAAAATATTGAACTGATTTATAATCAGCCATACAAGCGGCAATGCTATAGTATTAGAACATGCAATAATTAATTTAGCCAAGCATTATGTTATATTCTTGGTAATTAAAATTTATCTGTATAATTGAGCTGTAAAAAGTTTATATTAACGTTTTTTTAATCATTAGGTGAATTTTTATTTTTTGAAGTAATTTCTTAAAAACTATTTTTTCAAATCAAAAAGTAATTTTCCATAGAAAAACATATCAATAAAAAATTAAATCTAAATTTCCAAATTATATACTTTAAGTCCATATTTTACTAAACTACCCATACAAGTTAATATCAGCCTTGTGCTACTATAACTATACATATATCTACATACCCATACTTTTGTTAAACTTATTCAAGTCAAGTTCAAATAGCTCTAGCTCAAGCTTAAGCTAAGTAAACCTCAAACTCTATAAATTAGAATTTGGTTAGACTCGAGTCGAGCACGAACTTCAATTTTTTTAATAGAACTATGTTTTAATTTGAGTTTTAAAACTAAGAAATTAGTGCATATTTATTTATAATAATCACACACAAAAAAAGTCGTTTTGGACCGTGGTTCACGCAACTGTAATTTGCCAATTTAATGGGATATTAGGGGTTAATTAATATTTACAAGTGATAATTATATTTAATTTATAGTTGTAATTTAATTGATTTCTTGTTGAATGAATCTCATAATTTAATTGACAATAATTTGTTGTTTATATATGTCATAAATATAAGTTTTAGTACAGTTTGACTAAACTAGTGCAAGCACTACAGAGTCTACACATGTATGTATAGGCCAAAAGCATTCTCGATAGCCAAATCAGCCATCCAGGGGAACAAATTATGAGTTTTTTTTTTTTTCTTCTTAACAATAAGGATGTCTTTACCAATTATTAAATCAGGACCAGCCCCAAATTATTTGTTGAGATGAATTAATTGACAATTCTATACATTTTATGAAATTTGTAATTACAAACATACTAATAAAAATAATACAATTAAAACTCTGCTGTCATTACTTATAATTTTTAAAATAAATTTTTAAACATTTTGAATTAAAGATAATTTATCACATCTTTTTTTCATTTATCAAAAAATAAATAATTTATTTTAAGACAATTTGTAAGCGGACTATTAATATAATTGTTGGGTGGGGATTTGAAGGGCCTGATACCACACCCTGACATATAAACGTGGCGCTCAGTGCTAACCCATGTATAGAGAAATAAAATCGTGTATTTATTACTGACTATAGTTTTTTAGCAAAGTGAAGTGTTTGATTCTGACGATGAGTACCAGAGTATGTCACAAGGGTATGAATTCTATTGAAATCATGTTATGTAGTAGTGTTGGAAGTAAGGGGATTATTGTTAGGCAACAGATTTTTACTTAGCTCACCCTTAGTATTTTGTTTTAATTTCCATGAAAAATTATTAGGATAATTTTGCCCTCACCAATAATAATAATAATAACAACAACAACAACAACAATAGTAATTATTATTATTATTATTATTATTATTATTATTATTATTATTATTATTATTATTATTATTGTGTAGGGGTATATTTGTCTTTATACTCATTATTCTTTACAATAATTTCTTTTTCTACCAACCGAAAAATGTATGATTGAATACAACCCAAACTTATGTTGCATGGAATTTAAAATAAAAGTTGTTATATTTAAAACAAACCAATAAAAAATGTTTTTTTTTTTTGAGTATATAATAATTAAAATGTTGATGTATATAATTATGCTAATTTTCTGGAAAATGAACAAAACGCACAAAGTCAATTTAATTTTTTGTTGTGCATCCAAACACTGAAAATGATTTTTTTTTTTTTTAAATGAGTTATTTTTCTGATTTCCAAACATACGCTTAGTAGATTTGTATACTCGTAATACTATCTGGTGTATTCCAACGTCAATCGCAGTTTTCCTATGCACACTTTAAATTAATGTCAAAGATGTGATGTATGACCATTGATGATTTTCTTTTTGGTGCATAGCATTGATGTCAAAGATGTGATGTATGACCATTGATGATTTTCTTTTTGGTGCATAGCATTGATGATTTTTGTTTGTATGTATTTCATATGCCCATGCCTTTATCCATCCGGCCATCATTGCACCAAAGAGTTGAGAGTCACTCTCTTTCACATTTCTAAGCCTATGACCACTTTTAATATCCCCTTTATCTTACTTCTTTCCTTTGCAGCAAATCAAAAACCCCTCATTCTTAACATTAACAAAATCCCAAAAATAAACTAACTTGGTTGGCTTGAATGGGTGTACACTCTTATTTCTTAAGAGAGATTGGAAGTTCGAACCTCCTCTCATATGAAAAAACTAATTTGGTCCTCACAATGAGGATTAGTCTGAGTATGATAAGAGGCTTAAAGATGCATCTTATAATACAAAATTCATGTCTTAAAATAAATTATTTATTTTTTAATAAATGAAAAAGATGAGATTAAAATTTATAAGCAATGGTAGTAGTGTTTTAATTGTATTATTTTTATTAGCATGTTTGTAATTACAAATTTTATAAAATGTTTAGAATTGTCAATTAATTCATCCCGGTCATGATATAATTGGTAAAGACATCCTTTTGTAAGGAAAAAAAGAGTTTTAAATTTGTTCCTCCCTATTGAATGATTGATTTGGCTATGGACAATGCTTTTTGGCCTATACTACATACATGTGTAGTGCTTGCACTAGTTTAGTCAAACTGTACTAAAGCATTAATTTTATTAAATAAATAAACAATAATTATTGTCAATTAAATTATCAAATTCATTCAACAAGAAATCAATTAAATTACAACTATAAATATAATTATTACTTGTAAATAATATTAATTAACCCCTAATATTCCATTAAAGCTCTCTTCAATCAATAGCTGTGTGTCTTAACAAACATAAATTAAATCAAAACATCCACAAATAAAATTAAATTTTCATTGAACATATTAACAAGTCTTCTTCCCTTTCCCCTCCCATCCCCCTAGTAATTAATAAAAGCAAAACCGTAGCTATGAGACATTAATGCCCCCATCCCTTCATTTCCCCCTCCCCATGAATAGGTGTACCAGCGAGTGAAAGCTTTGGTTGGAGTGGGTAAATAATATACATAAATGCATAAGCACTCCACATGGATTAAGGTCCAAGATTAAAAGTAATATAATTAGTGAGGATAATTTGTTAATGAGATAACCTTTGGATGGAGTAAGAATAATTAAATTTGATTATATATTTTTTTGAGTACATAGTACTGACTTTAGATTGAAGTGCAAAGAGTCAATATCTTCACTAGAGTTCGAACCTATAACCTCCTATTTGGAAAAATCACAGAGGTATCGTTAAGGTACAAGGTACTACTTGTCAATTAAATTCGATTATTAGAAATTAAAAAAAAAAAATCAAAGATGTTAAATATATATACAAGTCTAGCTAAGCAATATGAGGACAAGTGTCTCATTTGTAACAAATTTTCAATAAACAAATCAACCAGTTCATATGATGTACTCTAAGTTGATGAATATGATTGATGTGAATCCCATGATCATTAGATACTTACAATCGAACATTTTTTTTTGTAATGAGAAAAAATTCATAGTCATTAATCAATGGTGCACACGAAATAAGTTATATATGTTATATATAATTTGGGGTTAGTTCAGATTTCAGGTTGGGCATATATACAATTTTAATAGCTCAATATTCAAATCAAATTTATATTCACATAAACTAACATTAAAAATATCACTCGAGTTTACCTGAAATTTAAATTCAAAATTCAATTTAAATTTTAGGTGTTGGTTCAAATAATTCCAATTAAGCTACCTCTAGGTAAGTGAAAAGATGACAAAAACTAAGCAATATTTATATCGTGGAGTAACATGCACCTATGACCTATCACATCCCTATTTTTTTCTCCTTATACTTTGTTTTTAAAATATAAAATTTACTTTTTTCTTTTTCTCTTTGTGAAAATAAAATTAATTTTTAAAAAATATATTTAGTTAATAACTTAATATATATGAAGAGATGGAGGTGGTGCATTTATGTATGTGTTGTCACTGTCTTTGGATCACTCTAAGTTAATGCGGAGTTGCTAAACATATATAATTAAATGTGGAATATTGGCATATTGCATTATATTAGCAACCTATATATATCTAGTCTTCCTAATAAGTCATCAAACGGGAAAACGAAATTGAAGTCAAAACTATATAGGTGTACCAACGAATGAAAGCTTAGCTAAAAGTGGAATCCTAGCAGATAGCTCAAAATCTCAATTCTCTCTCTACCCTCTCTTCACTTCTTCTTCTCCCTGCTTTCATTCTTCTCTTTCATTTCTTCTTCTCCCTCTTGCACCCTATTCTATTCTGCACTTCCATTTTCTTCTCCCCATTGCTTGGCTTCAGGTCAGATGGCAACAATAGCTACAGTCATTTTAGTGCTTGGTTTTATCCTCACTCCTCTTCACGCTCAAACTCCACCGCCAAATAATGTTCCTATATCCTGGGTTCAAAATGCTACTTCCAAAGGAGCAGGTAGCTAGGTTACATGCATTATATATATTATTGCTCTTCTATTAATTTGTGAAATAATATTGTTTTGTTTTGTATGTAGTTTGCTTAGACGGTACTCCGTCTGCTTATTATTTTCAACAAGGCCAAGGGAAGGGAGCTAATAAGTGGCTCATCTTCTTACAAGTTTGTCATTCACTTCTTTAATTTTTCTTAAAATCCTTCACTGTTATGATATATCAATCTGCCATAATTTGTGTTTTATGTTATGCCTTAGCTTGTGATTTGAATTTCTGGGTTTCTGAGAGGCATTAAATTCTTTTGCTCATGCATAATTATGTGATTTGAATTTTTAAGGGTGGAGGTTGGTGTGTGAATCAAACCGACTGCCTATCACGTGCTACTTATGGCGGTAGTTCTGGTTCTACCAAGAACCTAAGACAATCTATGGAATTTGGAGATTTTCTCTCTAACAATTCAACATATAATCCAGGTAAAACAAAATAAAATTTGTTTATTTCATTATTTTTATAACTACTCTAATTTAATCATTGAATTTTGTTGTATATATATATAGATTTTTACAATTGGAACAGAATTTATGTTCCATACTGTGATGGATCCTCGTTTACAGGCGATGTCGAAGCACCCGACAATGTAAGTGTTATAAATTTGAATTTAAAATATTTTCATTCAAATATACCACTAAATATTATTTTAACTATTTTTTTTAAGCTGACTAATGTCACATACCGAGGTGCACGAATATTCAAAGCCACAATGGATGACCTTCTATCTAGAGGCATGAATTTTGCCCAGAATGTATGGTACTTTACTTATATATAATTGATTGAAGATGTTTAAATTGCATTTGTTATTTTAAACCAAATATGTATGCCATGGGGCAATTCTTTTTTTTTTTTTTTTTTGGTAGGCACTTCTTACTGGTTCTTCAGCTGGGGGACTGGCAACAATGATTCATTGCGATAGATTTCGAGAACTTCTCCCATTGTTTGCCAGAGTAAAATGCCTCCCATTTGCAGCCTATTTTGTGCATGAGTAAGTTCAATTTTATAAATATTCAACTTAATTTACAACAAATTAAATTTTTATGAAAATTGGAATGGAGTAACTATAACATGTTTAATCTTTTATTAGGAAAAATCTACCGGGGAGCAGATATTTTGAGTTGGCATTTGATGGGCTGATTAATTTGCATGTATAGTAATTTCGATTTCATTAGTTTATAAATGTTTTATTATATCCTTTTTTTAGAACTAATTTTTCAAATATAAACTTTAATGAAATTTTATTTACTTTTGAATTTACTATGAGTTTATTTTATAGGGATCAGCCGGAATGCTACCTCCACTGTGCACTTCAATAATGAGCAAGCCGAGTCTGGTAAGTTAATAAAACCAATATGATGTTGAGTTTGTGGCATAATAAATATTGTATTATTTATTTTCAAAAAAATATTGTATTATTTTTGTTACTAATTGTTTTCAATCCACAGTGTTTGTTCCCCCAATATTTATTGCAGTATGTGACGACACCCGTCTTTATAGCTATGTCTTCATTTGACCAAATACAGGTTAATTTTAGTGTTTTTAAATTTTCGTGATTTAATTCAATGTTCCAAGCAATTTAGATTAAATATTAAGTTAGGTGATTTCAAATCTAATTTGTTATTCCATCATGAATCTATTAGTTATCCCAATGTTGAAACAAATTAAATATATAATTTTATTTTTAACGTTTAGATAAAATGGAATTTGTTCCGTGAGGATGAAGTGTGTTTGGTAGGTCAAAATTGCACAAATGATCAAAAAGAGGCCATACAAGGTCGGTGCTATAAGTTTCAATTTTCTTTTATACAAATTATTTGATTATTTCCTAGCTTCCAAGGGAATTGAGTGACGTAATTAATAATATATTTAATTTGATTCTTAATTTATTTATCTTAATTTCAGAATTGAGATATGATCTGTTAGATGCACTCCCCAAAGCTCTTCCCTCGTTGAGGGGGATATGGATCATGAGTTGTATTGCTCATGAGTTTCCTTACCATTCCACACTTAAAGTCATAGGGGAAAAGGTAATTAATAGTGCCACTATGTTTCTTTAATTTGTTTAATATATGTATGTATGTATATGTTTTTTGTGACAAAAGTTTAGTGTTACGTTATATTTACAGACATTTGCGGACATATTCAGCGATTGGTACTTTGATTACACTTATTTGCAAATAATTGATGCCAATACGGATCCAAGAATTTGCTCTACGTATGGCATAATTCCAAAAAAACTGTGAGCTAAATGGTAAGTTTGATTTAATGTGATAAAGTTAGGTTGATGTTGAGAATGTATATTTGTTGAAAATTTGTGAGCTAGTTGGTCAGACTTGGATTATTGTGATATTTGAATTGATACATGAAGAAGTTTGATGTAATTAATGATTTGATTTAATTTGATCTATGATTGAACTTTTATGTTTTTAATCATTTTCAGGACTGCAAAACGAACAAGAATATCAAGCCTAGAAAATCTGCCCACTAGTGTCTGCCTGGCTGTGGTTTATTGTCATGACAGTTGAAACTTTGTTTTATTGTGAAATGTGAATTTTAGTATGTAATGGATGCAATCTAGCTACTCCCCAGAAATGAAGTTGTTGTAGTCAAAATATGATCAACAAACAGTTTGTTGCCTAAATGGTTGGAGACAGTATATTTTATGCATATTACATAGTTTTATAATTAAATATTACGGAGTAATTTTTAATATTATTAGTTTGTTTTAATCCTTACTTAAATTTATCTTTTTAGATTTTAATTCTGAGAAAGAAATAATATTAAAAATTTCTATATTAATATGTTTCAATTATTATTAAGAGTTATAAATTTATTATTATTAGTATAATTACAAAAAATCAATAGAAACAATTAAAGAAAAAATAATAAGAGAGAGATTAATCATGCTCTACGTACTTAAAAAAAATAAAAATAAAAAAAATCATGCACTACATTTCTCATTTTAAATTGAACAGAGAGATTCACTGACTCAAAATTTTATCCATATTTGACCCAAAATACAAACTAACCCAATTTTTTAAAATAAATATAATAATATAAATTATATATTAACTATTACATGTATTTCATAGTTAATATTACGGAGTATATCAATTTTTAAAAGTCTCTTAGTTAATTATTAGTATTTGAGTTATCTTTAGTTTGATGGTATATAGAAAAATAATTACACTCTATCTCCACCAAATTCGCCCATTCCGATAGATTGTTTTTGCATGCATCTATAAAACAGAGTATTTGATCTGATTTTTTCTTTTTTTGTTCACTTTTCTGGATTCGAGAAGGGCTCTTGAGAGAGTGAGGTGTGGAAGGATTTGAGGTTGAAGAGATTTTATGTTGGTAAGGTCTGGATTGAGTTCTGCGTTTTGGGCTTTTTTGTTGAAGCTCTGGCTTGCTGTTTCTTTTGTTTCCTCAATCTTTGTATGCAGAGATCCACCGTTGTTTTCCAGTCCGTTTCGATGCGTTTGAGGCATTCATCTCCGTCCTTAAAACCTAGTGGTTTTAGGGTTTTTTTTTTTTTTTTTTTTTTTTTTTTTTTTATGCTGTTTTGTTTCCTCAATCTTTGTATGCAGAGATCCACCGTTGTTTTCCAGTCCGTTTCGATGCGTTTGAGGTATTCATCTCCGTCCTTAAAACCTAGTGGTTTTAGGGTTTTTTTTTTTTTTTTTTTATTTATGTTGTTTTTTGAGACTAATATGTGATGTGTTTCCTTTCAAAAAAAAAAAAAAAAAGTGATGGGTTTGTGTGGATTTTGCAGGACTTGTTCTGGAGTAGAGTGTTTGGGAGGATTCCACATAATATGGTGTAATATGGTGTACACTAACACTCATTGCTGGCGGATGAGGAGAATTACAAGAATAACACATAAAAAGACAACTTCGCCCTTCATTTTTCCCGTCAACAGACTTCTTCACTGACGGAGGATCAAAAGTGTCCATAAGTATGATATATTTGAGAAAAAATACAATACTTTTAGGGTCCGTTGTGAAATCCAGAAATTGACTTCCATAAGTCATTTTCTGAATTTTCCCGTGTTTAGATACTCAAGAAAAATAAAGTCAAAGAAAAATATCAATTATGTCAACAGAAAAAGGCTCAATTTGATTCATAATTTTTTTAGTAGGAAGACATTTTTCTGATTTCTTTATTTTCCATATCTCTCTTCCCTCACTTCTTTTTCAAGTTAGTTTCCAAATTTTTATTATTACCACCACATCACAACACAACCACACTATCACCACCACCACAGTACACCACCATCACCACATATTATTATTATTATTATTATTATTATTATTATTATTATTATTATTATTTTCATTTTCATTTTCAGGTTAAATGAACCAAACAAACAAACAAAAAAACAATTTCGTAACTTTTATCCAAACATAAAAATATAGTTTTTTTTTTTTTTTTTTTTTTTTTTTTGGCATTCAGCCAAACACCATAAAATAAAAATATATTTCAAAAAATAAGTCATTTTTTAAAAATCATTTTCTAAAAAAAAAAAAAAACATTTTTAGGTTTCTAAACAGACACTTAAATAAAAAGTGTAATACTTTGTTATTATTTGAACTGGACTTAGCTACTTCAGTTAATATTTATATAGGTTTTATTTATTAGTCTGAGCTAACAAAAAAAAAAAAAAATTTGTCCTGATAAGTATCCCTAAAGATAGATTAAAAAATATTTAGTTATTTTTACTTTAATATTTTTTAGTTTGGACTTATTATATTTACCAGGATCGTTATGTTGTGCATCCATATGCACCATGCATGGTGCATTCGGATGCAAAAACGATGTCGGTTTGATGTCTAATTTTAAAAAAAAAAATCAGAATTGTATAACTACACATCCATAATTTCATCACATCCATAATTTCATAACTATACATCCAGAATTACATAACTACACATCCATAATTTCATAACTATAAATCCAAAATTGCATAACTACACATCCATAACTTCATAACTATACATCCAGAATTGCATAACTACACATCCATAACGTTATAACTATAAATCCAGAATTGCATAACTACACATCCAGAATTACATAACTATCCATTCAGAATTGCATAACTATACATCCAGAATTTTCATAACTAAAAATCTAGAATGAATGAACTAATTAAATGAATAACATAATGTTGTTGCTGGAAATCAAAACCGATTTTTTTTTTTAAAAGTAAGATGCCCGTTTTAATACAAAACGATGTTGTTTTTGCATCCGTATGCACCGTATGGTGCATTACGATGCACAGCATAATTTGCCTATTTATCAATGACCAATAATACTATGGATTAGTTTAGGAGACCAAATAATAAAAAAATTACACCGGGCCCACAACCCAAAAAATTAAGAAAAAAAGATTAAAAATTTTTCGTTCAATTTATCTAATTTAGAGTTATAATAAATATGAGTTGGACTAGGTTTGTAAGAATAAAACCACACAAACACTAATTGAACATATCAAATCCAATTTTGTGTAACCATAATTTATTTCACATAATGCAAAGAGTTTCCCAAGTAAAAGATTGAACATATCAAATCCAATTTTGTATAACCATAATTTATTTCACATAATGCAAAGAGTTTCCCAAGTAAAAGATGGGTGAGATTTGAGTCGTTGATGTAATTTAGATCAACGGTTCAAATCAATGAAATTTTAAATTAAAAAAATGCGCTTCTTGAAAACTACAGGCATTCTCCTCCTACCATTTTTGAACTAATGCATAAGGTTAAAAGTTATGCAGCTTAAGTTTCAAACTGACACACTTTAAGTGTCGTATTGACGCACCTTAAGTGTCAAATTGATGCACTTACTATGTCAAACTGATACACCTTAAGTGTCAAACTAACGTACCTTAAGTGTTGAATTTGCGCATCTTAAGTGTTAAAAGACGCACCTTAAGTGTAGAACTTATGTACCTTAAATGTAGAACAGACGCTCCTTAATGATTAAAATGACGCACTTTAAGTGTAGAACTGATATAATCTCATTTGTGCATGTTTTTCTTGTTAATTTGAATCTACTTTTGGGCTTAAGTTCATTGAATTATCACTTTCAATGTCTATTTCCTTGATTTCTCAAGTAGACATGGTTTAATGCTTGATTTGAATATTTTTACGGTGTTTGTTAGTGTGTTGAAACCATTGTAGTGCAAATGCAAAAGCAATGGAAGTCTTTAAAGTATGCATGGAGCAAAAAAGAAGGTACAATGTTGATGTTGAAGACTCGACGCGTCGAATCATATTTTCGACGTGTCGAGAAATTCCAGTAGCATTGGCCGAGCAAAAGTTCAAGTTTGACGCGTCGAATCCCTAACTCGACGCGTCGAAAAATTCCAATAGGCTGCATGAAGAAACATGATCAAGGATCGACGCGTCGAGAATGCGTGTTGTGCAAGAAATCAGTTGTCCATAAATTCCTATTCTATTGTTATTTAGCTCCCACTATAAAAAAAAACCCTTCTTCCTCAAACCCTAGAGCGGAGCTGTGTTTTTGGAGGAAAAAAAAAGTGAGAGACATAAAGAGCTACAAGTCACATTGGAAGAGGCAGGAAAAGCTAGGAAGATTCGGGAGAATCTCTTTCCCTTTTCTTTTACTTTCTTTATTTAGTGTAAACTCTTTTATATTATTGCAATGAATGCTAATCTAGCCATGAGTGGGTAAAACAACTTAGGGATTTTTGGGTGAAAGTTTTTATGAACCTATGTGCCTAGTTCTTAAATTCATTAATATATTTACGTTTGGGTTTTATAGCTTGTGTTGCAATTGTGTTCTATCTTTTTTATGCTAGTAATTAAGGGCCCAAATTACTCGTTTCAATGTTATCTTTATGTCTTAATGGGAGTTAGGACATATTTTAGAGCACCCACAATTGCATTTAACTATTGCACATTGGGAGATGGAATTTTAGTTAAGGATTTATCTTGAATTGAATGCTTGTTCTTGAATTGTTAGAGCGTTTATATCACGGGAATGAATATTAGCTCGCATTATTATAGGTTGGAATTAAGGGAGTAATTCCTCCCCTTGTATGCATTCTCACACTTATTTTAACCCGAATTAAATGTTAGACTTTAGATTAGCACTAGGTGATTAAGCACTTGAACCCCATAAATCCCACTCTTTCTCTATTATTTTCATCAACTTGCTACCTTGTTCTCTTTTAAATAGTTTTACTTTTACAATCAATCAATCACCATTTTCATTAAGATTAGCTTCTCATGAATAGATTAGTAGCTAGTGCTTGATACGCTACGCTTCCCTGTGGATCGATAACCCGATACTCCGGGTATTTATTTGTTTGTTAAAATATGCTACAATCAAATTGGCGCCGTTGCCGGGGAAGCAGCGTTTAAGTATTGACATTAGTGAAAACTTTATTCTAGAAGTCTAGTCCACCATTTTCTTTGATCTTTTGATTAAGGTATTTGGTGTTGTATGCACACACGATCCTTGGGGAAAGAAGGACTATTACCTTTGGACCTTGAGATTGAAAAGAGAGCCAAGTGTCGTAGAAAGCAAAGAAGGATGGCACAGGGGAAAGTAAACATCAATTTGAATCTCAATGGAGATGGAGATGTGAATGGAATCAATCAACCACCACCCCCGAGAAAAGCCATGTCAGAGTACATTGCACCCAATGTTAAGGACCATGAT